TGCGTTCTACCTCTAGCTACAAACTACGTGAAGTTGCTTTATCTTTCACAGCAACGTTGTCGCTTGTAATATCTGCATTTTCCCGGGAAGGGCATCAAGGAATTTTTTTGATAGGGACCAACTCTTGTGGAGCTCCATGATAGCTTACGCCGAAAGAATAGAGTTCCAAATGCACAAGTCTTGCTGCGGCATTTGATCAAAGGTGGCCTTCACAAGCTCCAAGTTTGATGGTTGTGAGAGCAACATTTGATAGAAAAAGCTCTTGGTTTCCTCCCCGGTGCTGTTCTTGGCAAGAACATTGAGCATTGTTGTCCACGACGAGAGAGCTCTCTGCGGCATGGAGTCAAATATAAGCTTTGATTGTCTAACATGTAGCATTGCATGACGGTGTTGCTCGATCTCAGGCATCTGTGGAAAATTCAACATCCTCGTTTAGTGCGCATGCGCCAAGCATCACAGTCCAGGTGACGAGATCGTGCTGCGGCATTGCATAAAAAAATAACTTTGTTCTGTGTAGCGACAAGGCAACCAAGATTGTTGTAGGTCACTAGCCTCCATATTGTTAGTAACTATCATCGCAGCTATAGTCATTAGGCAATCTATCAAACATTGATCGCCTTCTAGTTATGCTTTTGAAGTTTTGAGCATATTCGCATAGAATCAGACATATTCCCTACTTTGTCTGCTGAACAGCAAGGCGTCATTTGTAGACACATAGAATGATTGACAATAAAGACAAAATTATTTGAATTTGAAATGCAATTGTTAAGAGTTTGACTTCGAGTCTTAAAACTTTGACAACATAATCTAGGCAGCAGTTTTTGGTTTTCTTTAGATTCTATCAATGCTATGCCCGTACATTTGCCAAGAGAGGATACATGGCTCTGCTGCTCACAGCAATGAGGTGCCGACATGCAGCTAAGGGGCACAGCCAATCCAAAGAAGTGGGACCAAATTGCATGTTTGTGATCAGTTCTCTTAATGTAACCAGCTCTTGCCAAGCCATCGATCATGCGGGAGTAATGATGGTGACATGGTTGAATGCCACAATCAAAAGCCATCGAAACACAAAGTAACTTCTAGCACATTCAACACTACCAACTTGGCCGTGAGCACTAAGAGCTGAGACAAATCTACCTTAATTGTAAATGCCGGCCATCTGCATATTGTGAAACAACTCAAATACAGAAACCAAATCCCCTGCTTGGGTACACGCAAGTGAGCATTGCATCCCAAGAAAATCCATTCTTCTCTGAAAAGTTTTTCTAGCATGGAACATGACCATGCCATATACCCGTTTCGGGCATAAGCATCAAGCATGGTGTTCCAGGAAACTAGCTGCTGATATGGTATATTATCGAAAATCGTCGTGTCAAGTCCATATCTCTTGATCCTGCATAGGCATACAGCAGTGAGCTCCTCGATACTAAACTCCAACTTGACATTTTGTCAAATAGACACTTGCCTGCTCAACTTTGCCAGCGTGGGAATATCCGGCTAGCATGGCATTGCATGCGACTGAATTCTTGAGTAGCATTACTAGGAGAGGAGTTTTATTTCTTTCAACGTGATGTTATTTTCACTTGGTCGATGTGGATGTGTAGTACAAAATCTTTAACGAGATAATGGCGTGGATGGTCCCGTACCTCCTGCCTTTGGTTAAGCTGCGTCATCTGGAAGTTCTCGACTTGGGAGGGTCCGGATCGATCTCGTCGCAGCTCACAGGAGCCATCCCGAGCTGGTTCTCCAACAATGATCCAAGACGAAATGCATCGCAGTGCTGAGCCTCAGCTCCAACCGCATCACTGGGAAAATCCACCAGAGCTTGGCCAACTCACGGCGCTCCACTGCCGCCATCCCTCCCAGCCTCGCCAATCTCACGAGCTTGAAGACGCTGAATCTCGCCTTGACCGGCAAGATTCCAGTGGAATTCCTGGCGCTCAAGAACATGAACTACTTGAACGTCTCCCACAACGACCTCACTGGCGCCATAACTAGCGGCGGACTGCGGCAAGCGCCTTTTACTTTTCAAAACATTTTACATGCTCTGAATATGCTCCTGAAAAAAAAAACCCAGATAATATGCGTTCTTTTACATTTGTCCCGTTTTGCTAGAATTGTATATAAGGATTTCAGACCCTGAAGTTGTAAATTAATTTCGTCCAAGTCTAGCTCGAAGCCATGTCGAAGGTGGCAAAGTTCTTAGAGCAACTGATTATCAAGCTGGCCAATGCTGCTGTGGAGCTAAACAGGCAATCCAAGCCGGGCACCAGCAAGCTGAAAATGCTTGAATTTCTCATTGGAGTGGTTGAGAAGCGATTCTACCATGCCCAGGTGTGATAAGAATGTTTTGATGCTTCTCACCGCTTGGCTCAAGCCACTTCCAGATGGGTCATTGTCCCATGCCATGATTCGTAGCACAATCTTGCTTGAAAAAATGCAAATTGATTTGGATGATGAGACGAAAAAAGAAGTAATTAGTGTGGAGTTGGTTGGGCAAGTTGGTAAGATATTTTTTAAAGCACAAAGAATAGACATATAAAAATAAAATGTTGGCTAAAAGGCTGATTGAGAAATGAAGACATGTGATCTTTGACATAGTGATTTGCCAAAGCAAAGTTGTCCACAATGAAACAATTGGTGAGATTTCTTCTCCATAAAAAAAAACAACCAACAACAGCGATTGTAAAAGAAAATTTGGATCTCGAGGAGAAGCCAAAGAATGAGAAGAATTCCGCCAACCACTGCTCCCAAGCCCATGACCATGAATTTCTCGATTCGTCCAAAGTCTAAGTTTGATGGAAAAGTGATTAGAGAGAGTATAACGCAACGTGAAGCAATAGAATCCAAGAGGGCGAGGATAAACAAGTCCATGAAACGACTACACAATGCTAACAAGAGAAGGCCCAGAGTCATGGGGGCTGAGGTGTCCTCGTAATGTAAGAGATGTTCTTTGCAATGTAAGACACGTTCTTTGCTTGACAGATCGAGCTAAGATTTTATACACTTGAAACTATGAGAATGTAAAAGGTTTACATTGCAAATTCATTCATTCATTCCTGTTTTACATTGTACAATATTTAGTGATCAACTAGTTAGAAAGAATATCATACGAAGAATGAAAACAACTAGGAAGAATCCAAGAAAAAACAAGATCTCGACGGATGGAACCACTACCTTGGACAATCGAAGCGATCATCGTTTGATTCTCGCTCGGAACAAAACTTTGACGCTCGCACACGCGATCTACACCTGCAAAACAGATCTCCCCGCCAGACTCTCCCCACTGCTCGCCGGTGATGGTCTTCTTCGCAGCTGAAAACTCCTGGCTCATCTTAGCCATGCCGTCTTTCATCGCATCCTCCATATTGGTGTAGCCATGCTCCTCGGCATACTTCCTCACGTCCTCCGTGATCTTCATGGAGCAAAACTTTGGACCACACATGGAGCAAAAGTGCGCGACATTTGCTCCTTCGCTCGGCAGCGTCTCGTCATGAAACGCCATCGCTGTCATGGGGTCCAACGACAGTGCAAACTGGTCCCTCCACCGGAACTAGAGTCCCGCCGTTCTCAGCGCGTCGTCCCAAGCCTGCGCGAAAGAATGCTTTTTCGCAAGGTCCGCAGCATGAGCAGCGATCTTGTAAGTTATCACCCCTTGCTTCACGTCGTCCCTGTTCGGCAGCCCGAGATGTTCCTTCGGCGTCATGTAGCACAGCAGCGCAGTCCCGAGAGCTCCAATGGTGGCGGCTCCAATGCCAATCGTATCCAGGGGCGATATCGGTCGTCAAGGGCCCGAGCATGTAGAACGGTGCCTCGTTACCTGGACATCCTTCTGCCAGGCCCGGCACAGCCAACTCTGAGAATTGCGACTGATCGTCCCCGTCGTGGATGGAGCCGGGTTGCGGACCATCGCCGATGGAGAGCGAGATATCATACTGGTTGAAATTGCAGTGCTCGTATGCAAAGTTCTCCTTGTGATGCGTCAGGCACCACTTGGAGCCACCCCTGGAAACTATTCCCGTCACCCGGTTTGCTGTGAGTGGATGAACCGCAGGCACACCAGCATGGATCGTGAAGTAGTCCACACCCTGCTCGGCCTGTTCCAGGAGCGTCCACGATAATGGCATGGATGGTCCCGTACCTCCTGCCTTTGGTAAGCTGCGTCAGCTGGAAGTTCTCGACTTGGGAGGGAACTTCTTCTCCGGACCACTGCCATCGTTGCTTGCTCAGCTCGCATCCACACTGCAAACGCTGGATCTGACAGGTTATAGATTTGAGGGACCGATTCCATCCGTAGTTGGGAAACTTACCAGCTTGAGGTACCTCGCCAAGCTCGAGAAACTCCTTGTCTTGAATCTCAGAGCAAGCTTGTTCACAGGCTCCATTCCTTCCTCCCTTGGGCAACTGAAAAGCCTTCAGCGTCTCTATCTCTCGGGTTCTCCCAAGCTCACAGGTTCCATTCCCTCATCCTTTGGGGAACTGAAAGGCCTCCAACGTCTCGATCTCTCAAGCATTTCCGAGCTCACAGGATCCATTCCGGAGCGTCTCGGCGACCTCCAAAACTTGGAATATCTCGACTTGAGTGGCACCAAGCTGTCGGGTTCCATTCCTCCATCGCTAGGCAAGCTTGCCAGCTTGGAGACGTTGAAGATATCAGGCACCAACGTCACTGGACGATACCCCAACAAGCACGGCAACCTCAAGAAGCTCAAGGTACTGGACCTTTCTTTCAACAGAGGTATGCATGGCCCCATTCCGAGCTCTTTTGGCCTGCTCGCTTCCCTGGAAGAACTTTCGCTCTGGCGCTGGGCTTACTGGACAAATATCGAGTTCTCTTGGCCGTCTTAGCAAACTTGTCATGCTGGATATCTCGTCCAACTCATTCAGCGGCAGCATCCCCGAGTCTCTAGGCCTTCTCTCCAATCTCAGCGAGCTCTGGGCCTCGGCAAGCCAGCTGTCGGGTCGTATTCCAGATGGTTTTGCTCAAGGTCTCAAAAACCTAAAAAGGCTGCAGCTTTCGATGAACAACCTCACTGGGCTTCTGGCCAACCTTAGCAGCTTGCAAGTCATCCGACTTGATAACAATACGAGCTTTGACGCCATCTCCGGGCTGAAAACACTCCAGGGGCTCTCAACGATCTCAGCGGCTGCAAGCTCCAAGGGTCAATACCTTCCTGGTTTGGCAGCATCAACCTCAAGGAACACCCGAGCTTACATGCGAGATCGACCTCTCCTTCAACTCCATCACCGGAGCTTTGCCCAATTCCTTAGGAAGAATCTCCAACCTCAAGCACCTCTTCCTCCAGTCCAACAAGATCCAAGGAAAACTTCCAGACAGCTTTGGAAAAACTCTTCCCAAGTTGAGGTATCTGGAGCTGTGCGACAACTTCCTTACGGGAGTCCCGAAAGACTTGAGCAACATGGGAAAAGGAATGCTATACCACCTCGGACTCAACTACAACAACCTCAGCTTTCAGGCCCTCGAAGGACTGACCACACTCCCCCAAGTTCCATCCCGAGCTGGTTTGGCAAGATCCCAATGGCCCAAGATGCCAAAGATGTCGTCAGCAATGTTGCAGTGCTGAGCCTACCGCATCACTGGGGAAATCCCACCAGAGCTTGGCCAGCTGACCCAACTCACGGTGCTCTACCTGGACGACAATGTGCTCATTGGCGCCATCCCTCCCTGTAGATGTGTGATTTTGCGTGTGGAATGCTTTGTTGACTTCGTTGCTTTGGTATGGTTATGTACATAACAGTATGGGTGTGATGCTTGGCAGTTGGTGTCTTGGATGAATGATTTGTCTCTTTTGCTAACATGGAGACTTGTCATCACTTGTCTCCACACTCCTCTTCAAGGCTTGCACCGTCAGTCAAATGAAGTGATTTGAGGAAGAGTTCATGCTTCACTCGAGGCAAGGACTTCGTCAAGATATCAACAACCATTGAGCAGGTTAGATAGAATTTAGGTTGATTGTTGAGTTGATCCCAGATGAAATGGAACCTCAACTCAATATGCTTGGTGCATGAGTGAAATCTCACATCCCGAGTCAACGCTATTACATATTGTTGCAGTAGAGTTTGACTGCTGGAATTTGAATCCTAAGGTCTTGCAGCAACGTCTTAAGCCAGATGGCTTCTTTCACTGCTGCTGCAGCTGCGATGTATTCAGATTCACATGAGGACATTACAGTGATCTACTACCTCCTAGAACACCTTATGGTTATACATGAAGACATACCCTGAGGTAGATCTTCTGTCATCTAGATCTCCTGCCTAGTCTGCATCTGTGAATCCCACTAGGCCGTTGTCTCCATTTCATCTTGCATATTTCAGTGTGAATTTCCTTGTGCCACTCACATACCTCATGATCTGCTTCACAGCGGCCCAATGTGAGGGTGATGGATTGTCCAGGAATTTTGAGACTACTCCCACATTGAATGCAAGGTTAGGCCTAATTGAGACCATCAAGTAGATGAGGCTCCTGACCACTGAACAGTACAGTGTTGTGGTCTCTTCCTTGGGAGTGTCATCTGAGGTTGATGTCAAACTAAAAGCCTTGAACAACTTTGAGTCTGCTTCCATAAGAGTATCCTCTGGGTTAGCATTAAGCATAGAGTACCTCTAGAGAATGTCATGGATGTATTTCTCCTGGGAGAGCTCAAGTACTCCACGTTGCCATCCCAGCAGACTTGAATTCCCCGACAGTAGTGCAAGTTTCCTAGATCGGTCATCTCGAATTTAGCAGCGAGAGAGGCCTTGATGCAGTGGATGAGTTGCATTTGGTTGGAGGCTAATATTATATCGTCCACATATAAAGCTAAGAATAGAAATCCTTGATCATCTCAATATATGTAGAGATTATTATCAGCTGTGCTGTGAGGAAAGCCTAATGAGGTTAGAAAGCTGTTAATTTTAGTGTACCATGACCTAGGGCTTTTTTTAGAGCCTTGTGCAAGTGGCAGATAAGATGCTCTTGTCTAGGACGTATAAACCTAGGAGGCTGAGCAAAGTACACCTCCTCCTCAAGATCACCGTTCAGGAAAGTAGTTCTCACATCAAGTTGATGGAGCTCCAGGTTGAGCTCAGCTACAAGGCTCATCAAAATACGAATTGCTATTAGGTTTACAATAGGGCTATAAGTTTCAGAGTAATCAATTCCCGGGATCTGAGAGAAACCATGAGCTATAAAGCATGCCTTGTAGCACTCGATGCTGCCATCAGCTCAATATTTCTTCTTGAACAGCCACTTGGCTGTGACTGCCTGACCAAGTTCTATTCTTGATCAGTGAGTTATACTCATCCTGTATGGCTGCTTGCCATTGTGCAGGACTAGAGAGAGCAGCCTGGTAGCCATGAGGTTCAGCAATGGAGCTCATGGCCCAGTAGAATCCCTTCTTACGTGGAGCTTGAGCAAGAGATTCAAGAGCTCTGATCGTTGGCTTGCTCACACGTCCTGAACAGGTAACAGCTCCAATCTTTTGACGAGGTGGCAGTGTCATGAGAGGATCTGAAGGAGGTGAACAGGAAGATCCTCTAACTGTTTCTTCACCAACGAACAGCTTGTCCATAGTAGCAGCAAGATTCTGCTCACTGGATGAAGCAGTGTTGCTGCTAGTAACCACCAAAGTGACTAGAGGAACTAATAGCCGTGGAGTTGGTGGAGAAGGCATGCCACCACCAAGTGGAGAAGGTGTTCCTCCTCCTGGAATGAGCAGCCTTTGGACTACTGGTGCTAGTGGGTGGGTGAGCTCGTCTTCTAGCATTGGGGTCAAGTCCACCAAGTTAGAACTTGAAGGAATAGTACCTTGAATGTGGCGATAAAGCTCTTGCTCATTGAATGAGACATCTCAGCTGAACACGAGCTTCTTGAGAGCAAAATTATAAACACAATAGGCCTTAGAATGAGCATGATAGCCCACAAAGATGGTCTTTTGGCTCCTAGGATCCAGCTTCTATCGAGTCGCATTTGGAATGTGAGCATACGCTATGCAACAGAAGACCCTCAAGTGGGCGCTTCCCAATCCAAGCTTGATAAGGAACCACACTAGTGCTCCTTGTGGGAAGGCAGTTACAGATGTAAACAGCCATGTTAACTGCTTCACCCCAAAAAAAGTTGGGTATGCTTGCATGCTGGAGAAGGCAACAAATAGTCTCTAGCAAAGTGCGATTGAGGTGCTTTGCCACACTGTTCTGTTGGGGGGTATGGGCTGTTGTGTACTGGTGAACGATGCCAGCCTCAACCAGAAAGTTGAGAAACTCTTTGTTCATGTACTCTCCATCACCATCCATGCATAACACTTGAATCTTTTGGCCAGTAAACGTCTTTACTCAGCTCTTAAAAAGCTTAAAGTGGTTGAACACTTTGCTCTTGGCGTGGAGAAGGCTCACCACAGTGTATCTGGAATGGTCATCGATAAAAGACACAAAGTACCTCTTGCAGCTGAGTGTTTCCATGGGCAAGTAACACACGTCACTGTGAACCAAATTGAGTAAGCCTGTAACTTAGTCCTCCATGGTTCTTGATGGAAAAGGAAGGCAAACTTGCTTCCTAAGATGGCAAGTTTCATACACACCCAGATAGCCAGTTGGGAGCGTGATGCCTTTAGCATGCTGGTTACGAGCTAAGGTGTGCAAATCTTGTTCATTGACATGCCCTAGATGAGTATGCTAGAGCTCAATGGTGTCTTGTGCTCGGAAAGCAAGCACTTGAGCTAGAAAAACCAATTTTGCGTTTAAACAATAGAGTGTTTCATAACTCACGCCACTAGCTACAGGAGCACCATCACGACCATAGATGGTGCACCCTTTTGGGAAGAAGGTGGTAGTAAATCCTTGATTTGAGGCTGCATCTATAAAAAGAATTGTCTACCCTACTTCAGGTACAGTGCATGTGATGAACCTCCTTAAGAGGTCCATTGGGTAGCTTAATCACCACCATGCCACGACGTTCCACCTGGAGTGGTCGCTTGTTGCCAACATAAACCTATTGTGGAGCTTGAAAAGCCTTCTAAGTGTGAAATGCAGACCTTAAGGGATTCATGTGAAAGGAGGCACCACTATCCAGCCATAGAACCTCAAGAGTAGACACTGGTGATGGGTAAAGATCCATCATCAATAATGAGTTGCTCTCGGTAAGCATGTGTTAGGTGGCAGCCTTTTTTGCACAATACTCATGCTCGACATGCCCCATCTTTCCACAATAGTTGCAAGGACCCTTTTTTCTTCTTGGAGAAGTTAGATCCAAAGCTGGGAGTTGTAGTAGAAGAGATATGAAGCCCACAACTAATGCCTCCTTTCCTCTTCTCCCCACTCGATTGTTTCTTACCAAGAAACAAGGCCTACTTGCGAGCAGTCTAAGGGGATCCTTGATGGCCAGCTTGATGCTCAACAATTTTGCACTCTTCCTCGAGCAGATCAAAGTAGAGCTCCTCCATGGTTTTGCCTAAGACAAAAGAGAGCATGGAGGAAGATTGTTGCAACTCTAGGGATATAGAGTAGAGTAGGAAGCCTTTTGCATAGTCATCAGAAACTATAACACCTACTTCCTTCAACTGCTATGTTAAGCCCTTGAGCTTCCAATGTATGTTGGCATTGTCTCACCAGGCTACATGCGTAGGGAGAAAAATTTATGGGTCAAAACCAATTTAGCATTAGTGTCTTTGGTTGCAAAGACTTTGGGAAAGGAAGTTTTAATTGGCCTTGGTGGATTTTTCTAGATGAAGGAGATGAATAAATTTGTCTCTAAGACCCAGTCCAATCACGGAAAGTGCTTTGTGGTTTTTGGAGTCTTAAGTAGCCTACAAGGCGGCTTCTGTATCTTGAGGTCTCATTTCAGTTCCCTCCACCAAATCCTTTGCCATTAAAATTAATTAGACTTTGGTCTTCCAAGTCGTGAAGTTCTCACCCATGAACTTCTAAAGTAGCTTCTCCCATCCTACATCCCAATTGCCAGCCGGGGTGGCCATGGTGCTCGCTAGGGTGGTTCTAAATGTAATGCAAGATGGAGTACTAGTAGCCATTAATTTCTAGAAGAAAAGACAAAACAACAGAGTAAGCTAGAAGTGAGGAGGGGGAGGAGGTGGTGGGAATCACTGGAAGGGACACCCACATGCCATGCATACAGAGTGACAATTAGGGCAAAGGCACGGATGGACATCACGTTGCGCTCGCTTGCATTCTTGAATCTGCTGTTCCACCCTAGCAAGGATTGCGAGAGCCCTAGTGCAGTCCTGCTCATCGCATTGCTGTGTTTGCCAATGTTTCGCCATTAGGATCAAAACAAACCCAATACCATGTAGATGTGTGATTTTGTGTGTGGAATGCTCTGTCGACTTCATTGCTTTGGTATGGTTATGTATATAACAGTATGGGTGTGATGCTTGGGGTGTCTTGGATGAATGACTTGTCTCCTTTGCTGACATGGAGACTTGTCATCACTTGTCTCCACAGTCCCAGCCTCGCCAATCTCACAATCTCACGAGCTTGCAGAGGCTCGACCTTGCCAGGAACCGCCTGACCGGCAAGATTCCAGTGGAATTCCTAACGGTCAAGAAACTGAACTACTTGAATGTCGCCCACAACCAGCTCACTGGCGCCATACCTAGCACAGAGCCGCTCATCGACATGGATCCGGAGAACTTTGCCGCCAATCCGGGGCTCTGTGGCAAGCCCCTGCCCCGGTGCTCCCCAAAAACCCTAGCTCTGTCATGAAGATGGCGCCACGATGGATGCAAAGCACGAAGAGTTTTGAGAATCGACGGCCTGCATTTCGTTGCCTTGCTGCCTGTGGCTCTTGCATATGAAGCTATCATGGAGCTCCACAAGATTCGGTCCCTATCAGGAGTTGTATAAAAAAAAATTCCCTAGCATGAACATGCTAGTTGTAAAGTTATCACCTGGAGAGTGTGTAAGAACCATTGAACTTGGAACTAGAAGTTAACCTCCTGGCCACCAGTTGAACAGTGCCACTCTCAATGCTGGAACAAAACGAGAACAAGAAAATAGAATGCTATCTTTGAAGATATGCAGCAGGACTTCTTAGTATAAGTACCTTTGAAGCTCTTTCGTCCCTCATAGTGCGCGTTCTCTCCTATTAACGTAAATAGAGAGTGAGCCTCTTAGATTACCTCATATCATCATTGGCTTGTGGGTTCCCTTGCAATGTCTCAAACACTTCTCGTTGTTTTACTCGTTTCGCTCCTTGTTCACGGCACCACTGCGGCATCCTGCAACAGCAAAGACGAGAAGGCATTACTGGCTTTCAAAAGTGCGGACGTGGATCGGAGTAACCTGCTTAACAAGTGGACTCAGCAGTCCAGCTGCTGTGCCTGGCCTGGTGTCAAATGCGACGGAGCTAGCAGCCGTGTGAGCGAGCTCAAGCTGGAGTCTATGGGATTAAGAGGTACGCTGTCTCCAGAACTGGGAAGCCTCTCTCAGCTCCAGACTCTCAGCGTCCACGATAATGGCGTGGAGGGTCCTGCCTTTGGTTAAGCTGCGTCAGCTGGAAGTTCGCGACCTGGGAGGGAACTTCTTTTCCGGATCGACCTCGTCGCAACTCACAGGAGCCATCCCGAGCTGGTTCTCCAAGATCCCAATGATCCAAGACGAAATGACCTCGTTGCAGTGGTGATCCTCAGCTCCAACCGCATCACTGGGAAAATCCCACCATCCTGGCGCTCAAGAACCTGAACTACTTGAACGTCTCCCACAACCACCTCACTGGGGCCATACCTAGTGGCGGGAGAACATCGCCGGCAATCCGGGGGGCCTTATTGACGTTAACATTTTTTATTTTTTTCCTCACTTTTTTTTGTTTGCTCACATTTTTTCCTAGATAAAAGAACCCAGCTAGAATTGTATATAAAGGGTTTCAGACCCAAGTTTAGCTCGAAGCCATGGCGAAGGTGGCGAAGTTCGTAGAGCAAGTGATTACCAAGCTGGCTAATGCTGCTGAGGAGGACATGGAGCTTAACAGACAATCCAAGCCGGCCACCAGCAAGCTGAAAATGCTCGAATTTTTCGTTGGAGTGGCTGAGAAGCGATTCTACCATGCCCACTTGTTTGATAAGGGTGTATTGATGCTTCTTGCTGCTTGGCTCAAGCCGCTTCCAGATGGGTCATTGCCCCATGCCATGATTCGCAGCACAATCTTCACAATCTTGCTTGAGAAGATGCTAATTGATTTGGATGATGAGACGAGAAAGAAGCAGTTGGCGTGGAGCGGGTTGGGAATGTTAGTAAAATATTTTTTAGAGCACAAAGAAGAAACACATGAGAATATAGTGCTAACTAAGGGGTTGATTGAGAAGTGGAGCTATGTGATTTTTGACACAGGGATTTCTCAAAGCAAGGTCGTCCATGATGAAACAATTGATAAAGTTTCTTCTCCATCGAAAAAGCAACCAGCAATAGCGGTTGTGGAAGAAAATTCAGGGTCACTGCCATCTCCAAAAAAGAGAAGAATTCCACCAATTATAGCTCCCCAGCCCATGACCATGAATTTCTCTATTCGTCCGAAGTCCAGAGAAGTGATTGGAGAGAGTATAATGCAACGTGGAGCAATGGAATTCAAGAGGGCAAGGATAAACAAGTCCATGAAGTGACTACATGACACTAACAACAAAGTCATGGGGGCCAAAGTGTTAGGCATTAAGTCAGGATAATAGGATAAAAAAAAAGCATTACAATTAAGTAATTACCCTTTTAGTTAGTTGATTTAGTGTGTAAAGGATAGAATCCTAAAATTGGTATTAGAGCTTAGTTTGATTTTAGTGGCAAATGAGTGGGGCAAAAATATTCTGAAGGAAATATTTAACATGGTGGATCTAAAAAGAGGTTTGGTAAACCCTATAGTGTAGCCTAAATATGATTGCAAATGATCATTCTCTGATAAGGGGAGGATTGTTAGGCACCAAATCAAGATAATAGAATTAAAAAAAGGCATAATATGATAGATTCTTTCTAGTTGAAGTGATCATTGATTGATTCTTGCTTGGAACAAATCTTTGATCCTCGCGCACATGATCTACACCTGCAAAACAGCACAAGCAGCACACTCCCTACGCAGGTATTAACCTGTTCAGGTGCAAAGGGACTCTCTCAGCCTGTCCCTGAGACGGACAAGCACCCCTGGTGCTACCACTGTCAGCATTGCAAAATAGAACCTTCAAACTTATAGAGCAAAAACGAAAGAGAAATCTAGCTACACAAGCGAGAGCACCTCCACTTATTCCTTACAAACCAAACCAAACTCTACCTTCAAACTTGATTGTCATCTTCTCCAGATCCAAATCCTGTCGCTCCTTTCCTTGGCGAGATCACCTACAAAGACAAAGCTTTCAAGCAACTGAAGAAAAGAAAGAAAAGCTTACCTTGTGAGACAAGATGATCTTTGGTCCATCGCTCTTAAGCAACTGGTTCCTTGCTTTCCTACGGTAAGTAGATCTCCCCGCCGGACTCTCCCCACTGCTTGCCAGTGATGGTCTTCTTCGCAGCTGAAAACTCCTGGCTCATCTTAGCCATGCCGTCTTTCATCGCGTCCTCCATATTGGTGTAGCCATGCTCCTCGGCATACTTCCTCACGTCCTCCGTGATCTTCATGGAGCAAAACTTTGGACCACACATGGAGCAAAAGCGCGACTTTTGCTCCTTCGCTCTCGTCGTGAAACGCCATCACTGTCATGGGGGAACGACAGTGCAAACTGGTCCCTCCACCGGAACTGGAATCTCGCCGTGCTCAGCGCGTCGTCCCAAGCCTGAGCGAAAGGATGCTGTTTCGCAAGGTCTGCGGCGTGAGCAGCGACCTTGTAAGTTATCACCCCTTGCTTCACGTCGTCCCTGTTCGGCTGTTCCTTCGGCGTCACGTAGCACAGCAGCGCAGTCCCGAGAGCTCCAATGGTGGCGGCTCCAATGCCCGAAGTTATGTGATCGTATCCAGGGGCGATATCGGTCGTCAAGGGCCCCAGCGTGTAAAACGGTGCCTCGTTACACCAGTCGAGCTGCTTCTCCATGTTTTCTGGGATCTTGTGGAGTGGTACGAGGCCGGGGCCTACGTTCATCACCTGGACATCCTTCTCCCAGGCCCGGCGAGTGAGCTCGCCTTGGACAGCCAGCTCCGAGAATTGCGACTGATCGTTCGCGTCGTGGATCGAGCCGGGTCGCAGGCCATCGCCGATGGAGAGCGAGATATCATACTGGTTGCAAATGTCGAGGATATCGTCCCAGTGTTCGTACGCAAAGTTCTCCTTGTGATGCGTCAGGCACCACTTTGCGTGAATGGAGCCACCCCTGGAAACTATTCCCGTCACCCGGTTTGCTGTGAGTGGGATGAACCGCAGTAGCACACCAGCATGGATCGTGAAGTAGTCCACACCCTGCCCGGCCTGTTCCAGGAGAGTCTCTCGACACACCTCCCACGTCAAGTTCTCGGCGATGCCGTCAACTTTCTCGAGCGCTTGATAGATGGGAACAGTCTCGACCGGCACCGAAGCGTTCCTTAGAATCCACTCTCTCGTCTCGTGGATATGGCGGCCTGTGGACAGATCCATGATCGTGTCAGCTCCCTATCGAGTCGCCCACTGTAACTTCTGGACTTCCTTGATCGAGCTCGTCACAGCCGAGTTGCCGATGTTTGCGTTAACTTTGAGGAGGAAGTTCCTCCCGATGATCATCGGCTCCAGCTCCGTGTGCTTCTTGTTGGAGGGAATGATCGCCCGGCCTCGAGCAACCTCCGAGCGGACGAACTCGGGTTCCATGCTCTCTCTGGTCACGCAGTAGAGCATCTCCTCAGTGATGACTCCCTTCTTTGCGTAGAACATTTGCGTCATCCTTGGCTCGGACTTTGCCTCGCGTCTCTCGATCCAAGCTTTCCTGAGTTTCGGGATTCATGCGCAAAGGCATGCATGAGGTGCCGGCTTATTATCACCAGCTCCTCTGGCATCCTTTTCTTTCTTCTTTTTTTTTTTTTTTTTTTTTTTTTTTTTTCT